TCAGAGAGTGCAAACGAAACATTTCATTCGCACATCGGATTTACACGAGATAGATAGACCAGCGAGCTGCTTCTGCAACATGACAGATTGAAAAAGTACCTAAAAGATTTCCCTTTATGAGTAAATCCTCAAATTAATCTGTTGTAGTAGAAGACAGTCTTGACTAGACTGTGGCTGTAGATAGTTCTGTCTTTCTCACAGGTATTAAGCATATTATGAAGGGGCTTTTTTAAAAAGTTACCAATTTGTTTTTAAAAATCATGACTACCAGGAATGGAATATAATTATTACTCCATTTAAAAGGTAACAACTCTTTATATTTAAGATCACAAAGTTGGCAAAAACGATACTTAAATAACAGAAGGTGATCATTTGCATTTCAAAATTAATCTATCTTGCTTTTCCCTCAATTAGACCAAAACATGTTGATTCACAGGTTTGTGTGTGTGTTTGTTTCTTTTTTAAACTTATTTATAGAGCAGAATAATGGCCCCCCTGCTAGGCTGGCATTTGCTCAAGTTTCTGTCTGTGTAAATTGAATCGGTTACCGGAATTTTCCCCCCTTCAGAATACCAAGGCACATTAACCAAGAGATAAAAGATACGTAGCTGATACCGTCAGCCACCAGGCAGGTGGATAATGCGAGGGATTTTTTGTTAGTTTTTTTGTGGGGTTTTTTGGACAAATATGTGATAAGAGTTCTCAGGGGGCACAGAGAGCAAAGGGCTGTTTAAACAGAAGTGAATCATTCTCATCTGATCTGCTAATAACTTTGTATTCAGACATCAGCGCTTAGCACACTTTAAAACATTCAGAAAACAAAGTTACTACAAAGAGAAGGAAAGTTAAAATAAAAAACCCACCACATAAACCTCACATTAGTCACCTTAACCATACAAACGCAGCAGCAAATCTCGGTTACAAGTGCTTAATTTCTTCTTTAAAAGCAAATAGGTTATTCTTGGCCAAAACCCCCACAGTTTTACTTGAAGTGGTGTTGAATTTATAGGGGATGATTTATAATCCACCATTTCCCTTGTGGGTCAGAGAAACAACATTTGACTTATCATAGGTGAACAGCAAAGATTTAGTTTGGCCATTAATCAAAGTATAGCAGAGGCGCTACTTTTAAGCATCTGGAGATAGCTTTGTTGTTGCAGGAGTCGGTTCAGCGTGAACTTTTTTTTTTTAACTGAGTAGAGCTATGCAGGAGTAAAAAAGAGTTCTCCAGCTTTACCAACAGATTCAACAGCCCTATAACGCACCACGGCTCTGAGTTTGCCAGTACGATTCCTGATATGCAAATCGTGATAAATAACCCGCATCTTCCGCCTCTTGTCCTTATGTGAAGCGAGGCAAACGAGAGGCAGCAAGTGCAACAGCAAAATCCATTAATGGTACAATGCCACCTGCCGTCAATAGGGGAGAAGTGCCACTTCCTGCAACAGATTTAGCCTTTCAATTTATGCACGATATAAAATGACAATTGCTATTTCACACAAAATTAATTATATTGCTAGCAGGGAACGGTATGCAGCTTTTAAGACTACCTCTTCCCTCATCTTTTTGACACTTCTCCATTTATGTTTGCATTTGTTCTATTTTATACAGATATTGCATAATCTCTTCTACGAATGCAACCATACTGCCTCTCTGCTTTTTGGAGGATAAAAAGAGAGGAGCAAGTCCTTGCTATTTACCGTGGGAAGGATCTGACCACTGTTTCTGTACCAATACTACTTTGCTTTGCTTTAATACAAGGTTAAAACCTGGGGTATTGAAAGTCTCAAATACAAAATCCTAGATCCAGCAAACAAGCTCTGTGGAGTTGGACCTCTATCCTCCCCTGGGTCTGGAAAGCTTCAACGTTAATACATTATTATCCCTAGCCCCTCCAGGAATTCAATTCCAATATATAAACCATAGATTTCATATTTTCCTTGAACCAATAAAGCAACTTAACATTCAAATCTGTCCTTAGTCACTTCGCTTCTTAGCACTTGCTAACTTGTGCTGTAAAAAAGTAACACCTGAAACCTTACCAATTAAAAAGATAAATCGGTTTCAAATACATTTTTATATCTTTCACAAAACTCTGCAATACGATTTCTTACCTATTTTAAATTGAAGATATCCTGCAATTTGGTTAACTTCCACATTCATCCTCTCCTTTTTCTGCCTACAAAATTTGCTCCTCAAAAATCAATACAGAAAAAGAACTGTATCCAAGACTCATCACCTGCTCTCAGTGCCTAACACCGGACCCTAAAAGACAAAGTGTTCTAATAAAGACATCTTCCCTTTCTTGCTTGCTCTTAATGAATAATCCCTTAAATAACAAAGTAACAATGCACTTAAATAACAAAACCCTGAAATCATGTAACATGTAAGTTATCACATCCACATTCTATTCTATTCTGAATTCTGATGAAAACACACACCGAGCTAAACACACGGAGAGAAGATTTTACAAGCCGAGTTTCACTGCACCCTTCAGTGAGGAGAGAGAAGGAGAGGGGAGGCAGAGTACCCAGAGGTAGGGCAACACAGAACACAATACTGCAAACACCAGGAAAATTCAAAACAAGATAAAAGAATCACTTTGAGTCACCTTACTTAGTCATTGCGTTGTAGTATGTGTAAGAAATTGTAAGTCCTGATTACATTTTGTGAAGATCACTTGTTCATCTCTACAAAACTGCAGCCCTTCCTTCAGCAGCAAAAAAGGTAGCTATGAAAAAAAGTTATGATCAATTTTAAAAAGCAACTTTAAAAGAATTTAAAAAAAAGAACTTGCCAATTTCTCTTAATGTGCTGAACTGAAGCACAAGTATAATTGCAAAATCCTTATTCCAAGCAGCAGCTTGAGCAGAAATGCTATCATGATAAAGAGGAGACATGGGTTCCAGGGACATGGTACACTCCTCAAAATGAAAAATGGTCATCCAAATAAGGCTTTATTTTCCTGTGACATCAGAGCCCAAAGAAAGCCCACTAACATGATTATTTTTTTAATACTGATCACAAGTTTTAGAGCAAGATTTACCAGCAGCAGTAGCACTAAGAAAGCTGTTTTGGACTCAGCTATACATCGTTATTGAAGCTAGAGGTATTAAAATCATTACTCTCAACAGAATGGCACTTCGCTCCAAAACATACTAAGATGTACCTAGTATTACTCTCTTATGCAAAAATCAGCATGAAATAGCTACAGTAGAGTATGCTTTGCACAGATAACATGAAAATCAAGAAATATGAAAGGACAGAATCATAGAGCAGTATCAATTCAGCCATCTTGCGTATATCCAATATTTGCATTTGCAAATCTTCATCTTGCAGCCCGGCAGTTACAGACACACAAAGCAAACTGCAGCTTGGGTAGGGCAGGGAGGGCGGAGAGGGCAGCTTAACCGAGAAGAGCCTGGATGGACACCACACCTGTGCTGTGAGGTGGAAATAATGATGGTGCACAAAACTTAAGTCTTGCATTTGGGGACTTCTAAATATTATTTCAACTGCTCCCTAAACACCTAATTACGGCAGGAGTTGGCTGGTTGGGGCTTAGGGGGCAAAAAAAGCCTCTCTTTGGATCCTCATTAAACTACAGAAAAATTAAGCTTTGACTTTCACAGCTCATTAATGATGATGGTGGGAAAAGGCTGCACTTCCATCTTTGCTACTACTCAGCCAGGGAGAGCTTTGCACCAGGCTGGGTTAGGGAGCCAGGAAAACGCCTCTTTCTAACAGGACATCATGCACGTTGGCAACAAGGACACATTTCTATTTAACAACCACAAGAATTGCCAAGATTCCCAAATTTTCTTGTTCTTGAATTGAAGCAGGGTGAGGGTAGAATGAAGGTGTTGGGTTTGCTTTGACAGGTAAACAGAATGTCTTACTGTAACACTCGCCCTTTTGACTTGTACCTCGATAGAAAAGATTTTATTTATTATTTATCTCCAGAGGCTGGCATTCAAATTTTTGGTGAGATCCGACCACCTCTATTCACAGAGAGCAGTTTCTCACTGTACTTCTGCTGCAGGACTAAGTCACAGAATAAACACCTGATGCCAAACTAAGTTCAGAACTTCCACTGCTGATAACTCTTACTCTGTATTTTTCTGAGCACATTTACAGACTCTGAGCTTGAGGACTACCTGCAAACCAAGTTGCAAAGCCTAGCTAGACCACAAGCTCAGCAGAAAGAATATGCTGGTATTTTAAATTCAGAATAAAAAAAGAAACTGAAAGTCTGAATAGCCTCTCAGTAGTCATTTCAACTCAAAATTATTTTTTAAAAATCATCTATGAATTTTTTAAAATATGAAGCTATAAGTAAAGCACTGGATTTTCAGCTGTCATTACCATTTGACCACTGTATTAGCAGAAAATAAACTGGAAAAAGGAAAAGGGGGAGGATGCAGTTTCAAGTGGCATCCCAGCTATAAAAACCCAAGAGATTGATTTTATCACCCTCATGATTGATGAAAGCAGTTCCAAGAAAAGAGCTCTCTAAACTATTTCAAAGCCGACTGTTGCTCATAAAAAATGTCAGAAGCATCACTGAGCCTATTAGGGTTGTATTTTTCAAACTGCTATAGTTTTCCCCCACACCCCTCCATGTTCTTCACATGTATACATTTTTGTATTTTTAAGGCTCTTAGTGTTATCTTTTCAGTCTGCCCTTTCCCTTATTTGCTCTTCTGTTATCAAGATGCATTCACACACAGCAAATAACTGCAAGAAAACAAAACATTCCTTAAATTTGCTTAAGTAAGACATTCAATACAATTACACTTTATGGAAATGAACTAACAAACACCACCACAGTTCAAAAATTAAAGCAGTTACGAGCCCTCCGGCTTTTTAAGACATTCAGGAAAAAGCAAAGAAAATTCAGATACTGCATGATCTTGAGCTCTGTGCTATAGCGGCTCTGTGAGAAAATGAAAGCTGCTCGTCTGCTTTCCAAGTGAAACATTGTAGGTGATTGCTCTAACCTGGGGCACAGTACATTCTCTCTATGGCATCGTTGTCACAGGAATCTTCAACCTCCCTCCACCTGCTAAAATACGTTAGCTGAATGTGTCCTAAAAACAAAACGACAGGAGAAATCAAAACATTTTTCCCTTCCATTTTCTGCAGAAGTGAACTGTAATTACTCCTTTTGTAGCTAAAAACAGTATCATTAAGAATAATGGCATCATTAAGTACTAGAAGCTATTACTGGGGGTGAATTTGCTGCACTGATAATGAAGCTCTAGACAGGAAATGAAGATACTAATTACAAGATAAAACGCCTACTCAGTTAATTGGAAGCAACAGCGAATAAAAAGAAATGCATTTGCAAAAGTTCCTGACCTCTATCATTCAATAAGATGTTGTTTGGGTTCAAATCGCGGCACACAATTCCTTCTCTATGTAAAGCATCAAGGGCTACAACCATTTCAGCTGCCCATCTTTGAATGCAATCCTCTGGGATGTAAAACCTGGAGGTTATCGCTAATCTTTCGTCGAGGTCCTGAAAAATTTGATGTATTTCCTTTTCCCCTGCTACCGCTATTTTATTTTCCCTCTTTGGTGCTGTCTTTTCACTTTCAGCTGCTGGTAACAAAGCCCGGTCTGTTCCCTCTTTCCCAAAGTCTTCAGTTTGATCAGAAAACAGCAACACTGCTTCATTTTGTGACGTGTCTCCATCCAAGCTAACATCTTGAGCACCTGAGAGCGGGTTGCAAACAAATAAACTTTCTTCTTTGCTTGTCACATTGAAGGAGCAGGCTCCAGGCCCTTGAAACAGAGCCCCGTCTTCGGGACTACCTACCTCCTGGTCAGATGTAAAGAGGGTTCCAAGAGCTCCTTGAGTGACACAGCTTTGTCCCTTTGCTTCCTTGCGAGAAGGATCACTCAGTTCTGGTGCCACATGATTTGCCTCTTGATCAAATGCTTTGCATGGCTCTGCAGAACTATTTAATTGCAAGACATCAGGTGTTTCTAACAACTTCACTTCCAACATGTCCCTATCGGATTTTGTAAACTTTGTTGGTCTTGACACTACTGCCTCTTCTGTTTCATCAGACATACCAGGTAAGTTTATTAGGAGATCAGGCCTTCCTTCATCAATACTATTTACATCATCAAAAGCAGCATCCTTAAAGGAGATAACTGGCACAGAGTCATTTGAACCCCTGCTTATGGTGTCATGGGCTTTCACACCCAATTTGCTCTCTAGGGCATCCAAACCTCTCTCATGATCTGGGACAGAAAACAATGGCTTCAAAGGTTCTGATTTCAGGCTGTATAATTTTTCTCCAAAATCAAGCCCCAGGAGCTCACTAGTGCTATCTTTGCTGTCTATCCTGAAGAGTTCCATGGGGCTGTTCTTTGATTTAGTTAGAGAGTCCAATATCCTAGTAGGGCTGGCTATTTCCGACTCAGCATCGTCAATGAAAAGCTTTCGTTCCTGAGACACAGTCTGAGAGGTGAAGCTATCACTGCCCACGACACTGCATTTCTGTAAGCAACTTCTCTCTTTGGTATTTAGACCTTCCCTCTCCAGTTTAACCACCGGTTCCTCATTAAGAGAGCCAGAATCTATTTTTTCTTGCCCGTATTCATTGCATAACGTTAAATAACTAGTAGTGCACTCTTCTTCTGAGCTGGATCCTGAGTCCATCCACTTCGAACTCTCCTGGCCATCTTCCTGGTTGCTGCTGTCATCCTGCGAGCTCGGTGTTAAGCTGCTCTTCAGCGGGACCACCTGCAGCATGCTCTCCCCATAGCTTTCTCTGGAATCAGCGCTGCTACCAACTTCTTTAGGACTTGGTGTCGGCTGCTCCAGGTAAATTTTAGTTGAACTGGATGTTCTGGGTTCAGGAATGTCAAAGCTCTCTTCAGGACTTCTGTTTAAGAACTTACTGACATAAGACCACAGTTTTCCTCCTGCAAGAAAAGAGAGGAGGAGGCAAATCTCTTAGTTTCACTCAAAACAAAATCAATTTCATTATGAAACAGGTAAGTACCCTCATTGTCACAATACACTACCTCCTTATGCTCACAGAGCAAGTTGGATCCGATACCTCAGGAGGAAATAATTACAGGGACCACAACTTGCTTTTCAAGCAGATTTGTATTGATACATAAATATTTAAAGAGCTGCTTCTGACATTAAAAAAAGAAAAAGCTTAAACTTCAGTAAAGTCTCATTTCAGAGTCTGTCTCAAGTTGCATGGTGGTGACTACTCTCCATCTGGTGTCTCAAAAGAAAGCAAAAACTAGGGAAGATCAAATGATTTAGTGCCCATCACCACTTCTGCCTGTACTGAATACTTCTGTATCACAGCTCCACGCTTATGAGCGACATTAGGGGAGAAGGACTAAAAACTACTAAGCAAGTTCGCTAAGGGGAAGGGAATTACGTCATATTAGCAGGTTATTTTAAGGATCTGGTTTTCTCTTTGAAGAAGTGGGGTTTGTTTTTTTAGTTAAATACGGATGTATTTCTCCTTTAACTTCAGAATTCAAGAGTTTTTTACACCTTGCTGCATTACACAAAGATTTATCAATACTCTTAGTTACATTGGCAAATCAGTTCCTTCACAGCAAAGACTAGAAGTTACAGCTCCAAAAGTAATAGTTACATTTTTAAAATACAAAATAGGACTCTCTATTTCCAAATACTGCACGTATAAAAAGCTTATAAATTACAAAATGTCATTTGCACAAAACAAATCAAGAAGTTACTGCATCTCTTGCACATGCCAAAGAATTTGGCTTAAAGCTAGAAAGGCACCTTTGATAACTTATGGGAAAATGCAAAGTCAATACATTTCAATTCAGAAGATTGTAGAGAAATTCTGGAAAATGCAGGAGTTCTAACAAAATCTTTGTAGAAGAAAAAAATACGTATCCAGCCCACTGGGCATCTGCAAAGTTTTGAATTTTGTTGTTGTTGTTGTTCTTTTTTTTACTTGTTTGAGCAAAACATCAAGTTTTATATTTTTCCAAAATATGGACTTTAATAGTTACTTTTAAACACTCTCCATATCAGGCAAAATTCCTTTAAAAAGTACAACGAAAGAAGAAAGTATTTTTTCATTGCCTAGGAACAGGTTTTATATATTCCCAGGTATTTCAAAAATAACTTATCAAAGGCAGAAAAACCTTGATACTTTAAAAATGAATTTGAATAATGTAATGTGGAGTTTTCTTGTCCTCCGTCCCCCTGGCTAAGACAAGACTTGTTTTTGAAGGCAAAAAAAAAAATCTCACTGGTTGTGGTGAAACTAAGTATATTAAAAATATTAAGAGGGAATTCTAAGAGCTCGAGTCCAATGGTAAAAGTGATAAATTAGATCTATTAATCCACATGGTTTCTGCCATAAGCCACAAATGGATTTGGTAGGTCAGACTGATTCTTGCCATGTTCTACAAGATGATGAGAAAGGATGCCAGGTGAAGGAACAGGAGCAAACAGAAGCTCACAGAGAGGGGAACAAGAACTGCTACACTGACCACTGCATTGCATAAGCACTTTAACTACTTACCCAAGGATGCATTCAAAATACCTAGAAGCGTGCCATGCCTCAGTAGTAAGACAAGGCTCATCAGTCACCCCCTGCAGAGCAGCAGCCCTCAGCCCAGCAGAGCAGGCTGCCTCCCTGGGCAGCCACTTCCTCAGAGCCTACTCTGCCACCCTGCATCGGTGGGACCAAGGGCCCTGGTCCTGCCAGAAGCACCTGAGGAGCAGGACCTTGCCTCTGTGGCAGGCAGTGGTTTCATGCAGACTCTTAAGATGAAGCCACTTGCCTTAAAAGCAGTGCATTATGGCAAAGGCAAAGCCAGGGCACTGCTGTGCCTTTTGAGCCCTGCAAATTGCATAGGACTTCAGAATTACTGGTTTTAAACCTATTTGGTAAAAATAAAAGTTCATTCCATATTCACCAAATCTTTTTCTAATTTTATGTTTTTACATTTATCCATGTTTTTGCTATGGAATTGCTGGGAAAGAAAATAACAGAAAAGACAATGAGAGAAACAGAACATATGTATCTTTATATATGCGTGAAAGACTTTCTCCTCTTTTCCACACTTTCATCCATGACAAAAAAAGCAACACAAAAGTTTAATTTTAACTCAAGATTCCAACAGAACAAATAATTTTATTTAAAAAATTCCATTACATTATTTTAAGTAAACAGTGCTTACAAAATAACCTTGCCCAGTTCATTAACTAAGCACAAAACTATTCAGGAATTTGTTTCATATCAAACAATAAAATCTCGTTTGACAACCACACCTCTGCTGCATTTAATTAAACACACAGTCTCCCCATCCTACCTGCACTGTATTAACTAGTATGAGCAAATGCTAAGTATATGTATTTACTAGTGTTACTTACTTACTATCACTACTAGTGTTTATTATCTCAGTCCTGCTTCAGAAATTTCTTATGAAAACACAAATGTCGACTTTCAGAGGGTGTTCACAGAACACGACCCACAAAGACCCACGTTACATTTTTGCAGCTTCGTATAGTGCATGGCACATCTTCAGCCTCCAGGCACGGCTTTAATGCAAACATTACCACACGATCAGTCCTGCCTCAGAAGGTAAGAAAAGGTCTTTCTGATGGAGGCCTGGCTTGAGCTTTGACCCAGGGATACAGAAAGCTCAAAACCTTCTTTCTGTGATCTATTGCCACGTTTTTTTCCTGTGTCATTACTGGACACCAGGTGTGCTTTTACATGTGACACCTCAACAGCTCTCACTGACCTAAATGTTTCGTACCCCTGTATTAAGATAGGAAGGGGCTGGGCTGCCCTGCAGTATGAAAAGTGCAAGAACTCTCCCAGCACAACTTCACTTTTCACCGATACACAAGTCAAAGCAGCGCTTGGGACAACTTGTCCTCGGCTCCCTCCACCTCTCTTCCTGCAATGCTTCATGCAGCCTCCGCGAGATCTTAGTCTCTACTTGGAGTCTTGGTGTAGCTTAAGAAAGCAGGAGACCCAATAAGGATTAAAGAAGGGAAACAAATGCATTGAGATCAGTCCTTCAAAACCCCACAGAAAAATCACTGCAAGAGTCAAGAACTTCAGGCTATATTTTTTTTTAAATGTTCAATTTCAAATGCTTTCAGTGAACCTAAAATTTGCAAAAGACAAAATATCTCTTCATCCTCACAGGATTCAGGAATTCACTGCTATTTACCTGTGAAAACAGACAGACCTGCAACAATGACTCATTTTCTATCGGTAAACGTGTTATTAGCTTAACTTTTTAAGAAAGAAGTTGCTCATTAATTATCACTTGGACTTAGAAATCATAATGAAAATTACTACTTACTGCAATTCCAATTTAGAGTTAAATGGAAGTAAATACAAAAAAAATTATTTTTACTATGTCCAAATACGTTTACATACAGATATTTTAAGACTGGCCTCTTGGTCAAGTGGAAATACGTAAATAAATGCTATTCAATAATTGTGTTTTATAGTGAAAAACAACAATTTTGTTCCTTTCTGAAAATGTCCAATCCAGGGTCAAACAAGAGTGATATTTGTATCTGGGTATATAATTATGCCTCTATGAATGACATACTAATAATCTTTCTCCCTCTCCCCATGTGTTGTGTAAGATCAAGAAAACCCATTAGCAAGCCATGCTAATATAGTATCAGGAATCTATAAAAACTAAAATTACAGAAGTCAATCCAAACAAATACGCTTCAATCATCGTCAAATAGTCTAACATACTAAATAACTATAAAAGCTACCATTTTAAGTTAAAGTTTATTAGTGTTTAATACGATTTCAGAAGTGCAGCATTAACAGAACTAAATATAAAGATTATTTTCTTCTACCAAGAACTGACCCTACAACCAGCTTAGCTCACGCTTTCTGGTTTTATTATCCCATGAAAATCACCAAGGTCCACATCTTTTGCAAGCATTCAGTGTAAAATCACTTATTAGATGCATCCTACTTAACCACATTTCTAGCACTCTAGAGATTGCATCTCTGCTTCAAGAGGTCCAATCTAAAAATTCAGTGTCCAAAATAACAGGAAATTTCAGCATAAAGTGACCAAGTGATGAAGTTGGCTAGGAATCCTATTAGGTCCATATTATTTTATATTCTTCCAAACATTTCTGCAGATTTTTGTTAGTAATAGCACTTGACACAGGAATATCAAAGAGAAGAATATATAAAGAGTATATAATACTTATCACAGGATAAAAGAAAACCTAACAGATCAGCGAATTTAGTCTCCTAACCATGTTTCTGTTCCAGCTGATGAGAAAAAATTCATGATCTGTTGGATTTTTCCGCACCTGGTGCTCAGACACTTACCATTTCCGCTTCACATCCTCCAAGACTGACTGACTAAGGGGACATATTCCAAAATAAATGCTAGCCTGGCCCACGAGTTTACTCAGCAGAACGATATAATCCAATTCCTGCAGAACTGGATTCAGCTAAGAATGCAGTAATCGCTGTATTCAGGAAAGCCCAAACAAAATCAAAGTGAACAACAATTTGGGCTTCCAAATAATCTTGATAGGATAGGGAAGAAAAAAAAAAATCAGAGTACGGAAAGACATCCGGTTGAATTATTTTCCAAAACCTGGCCAAGCTCTCTACATTACTGCGTAAGAATTTGTTTATGGCCAGGAGTATCAGTAAGTCATGCACCTCGTGTGAATTAATATTCTTCCTTGCTGGAAAAAGAACAACCTTGTGGTTATTTTAGAATCACTGTCTTCCTTTTCAATAAAACCATGGCTGCTGGGAAACTACATCCTGTTAATATACTATTATATAAAATTACGCTTGTACAGTTTCTAGGCCAAAAGGGAACCAGACATGTAGGCACTACCATGATACAAAAAATTAATGTTTCACAACATAATGGCAGTCACAGTGGGGCTGCAGC